AGTTCTTGTGATTCGATCCTACAAGTGGTATCAGAGCCTTGTTTTCTTCTTTGGATTTTAACCGATCTAGAGTTTTTGCCATAGCTAATAAGTTTTCAACTAAGCCTCATGTTTTCGATAGTTCTGATTTTGCTTATTGGTGTGATAAGATGCAATCTTACATTATAGCTAAAGATTATGGTGTTTGGCAAAAGGTTGCACAGCCATATGTGATTTCTGAACAGATTGACATTATTGCTTTGAAAACTGAGTTTAATAACAATTGCAAAGCTCGTAATATTCTTTTGAGTGGAATTTCTCGTTCGGCTTTTGATCGTGTTTCACATCTTAAAACTGCCAATGAGATTTGGAATGCTTCGAAAAACTTTCATCAAGGAACTACTAATATAAAAGAACTTCGCTGAGATCTTTTCAAAAAAGTACATAAAATTTGAGATGAAACCAGGAGAAGCTTTGGATGATTATCTTGGTAGATTTAATAAAATTTTGAGTGATCTTAGATCTGTTGATTCTTCATATGATGTTAATTATACACAATCTGAGGTTTCTCGCCACTTTTTGAATGGTCTTACATGTCTATTTGGGAGATGAAAGTTACATCTATTCAGGAGTCTGTTGACATGTCTACTTTGACTTTAGATTCGCTTTACACAAAACTGAAAACACATGAGATGAATATTCTTTCTCGTAAAGTTGATTCTAAGTCGAGTGTTTTGGTTTCTTCCTCCACTTCATTGCATGCTGATTCTTCTTCATTGAAGTCTTCCGTATTTGCTTTATTTAATGCCATGTCCGATGATCAACTCGAACAGTTCGAGGAGGAGGACTTGGTTTTGTTAACTAACAGACTTTATCGAGCTGTGACTAATGTTAGGTACAGGAAAAGAGGTGGACCAAATCGTTGCTTTGAGTGTGGGTCTACGGATCCCTTTCATTCGTGTTGTCCTAAGCTTGGGAGAAGTAGGAGGGAAGATAATGACGATGAGAAGACCAATGACAACAAGCCCAAGGGTAGATTCAAAGGGAGGAAGAACAAGGAGAATCTCAAGAAGGTGTTTGATAAAGTCTACGCCGCGTTTGAACCACTAAGCGATGTAGATGGTGAGAGTGGAGATGAAGATAAGGGAAAGAACATCTCCGGTGTTTGCTTCATGGCGCATGGTGAATCGGATTCAGAGTGTGAAGACAATGAGGTACGTACTTTTGAGGAAGCTATTCTTATTTTAAGTGAGAAAATTAAGAAGTGTGAGAAGATGTATAGAAATCATGAGTTTATCATTGAATCTCTTAATTCTGAAATTGCTAGATTAAAATCTCTTATTCCTAATGATGATGATTGCAAAAGTTGTGACGTTTTAATGAATGAAATTTCTAAAATTAGAGATGTCAATGCTACACATGATTTGAAAAATAAATCTTCTCTAGCTCTTGGATTTGCTTTGCACATTGGATGAGTTGTTTTTGACTAAAAAGTTGTTGCAAAAATATCAAATTGCTTTTCATGCTAGTTTGATGTTTAACATGATTTGTGCTAAAAAGTTAAAACAACCTCATGATGTTTTGGATTGCTCAACTTGCACATTAAACAAGATGAAACTAAAAGATGCTTTAGGTCGTGTTGAGTATATGGAAGATGTTGTGAAAACCAATGAAGTGCTTTCTTGCCCCAAATGTCGTAAAAGCAAAGGTGTCATGGTAGATTGTGAAAATTGTGCTAATTTGGAAAAAAAGGTTTCTTATTTGAAAAGTTCTTTGCAAATATATTCTAAAGGTAAGAAACAACTTAACATGATTTTTGATCAGTCTAAAGTGACTAGTTACAATACGGGTGTAGGTTTTAGTGTTCATGATTATTTCACCAAAAATCAACCAAATGTTTTGAGTATAACTGAATGTGGTGAAATTTTGACAAAACCTAATGCTAAGAAAACAATTTTTAAATCTGTTGGAATTTGGCCTTCTCTTTCTGCAACACTGAAAGAAACAAAAACAAATCTTTCAAAACCATCTTCTTCTAAAGAATAGTATACTTGTTCTTTTTTGGCAAAGATGGACATATTGTTGGTTTTTGTTTCAGGTTAGCTCATAAACAGAAAAAGGAGAGAGATTGATTTTCCAAAATCGAAGTGGCAAAAATCTGGTTTCCCTCGAGGAAACCGGTCAGACCGTAGTGGGTCCCCCGGTCAGACCGGCGACCGGTCAGACCGGCCTCAGAGAGATTTTTCTAAAAATTCTCAAACTGTTTTTGCACGTGGATATATGCCTATTGGATTTTCTGGTCGTGTGTCTCAGTACTGGATTCCTAAATTTTTATTATCATCTAACCCTAGTACTGAGGCTTCGACTTCTGCTTGTGTGTAGGCTTTGATGGCGAGGAAGGAGAACGTGTGGATCGTGGATTCCGGTTGTTCGCGGCACATGACCGGTGATAAAAATTGGTTCTCCTCCCTCAAACGGGCATCCAAGACTGAATCAATTATCTTTGGTGATGCTTCTACTAGTGCCGTTCTCGCTACAGGTTTGGTTAAGGTAAATGAGAAATTTGAATTGAAGAATGTAGCTTTGGTTGAGGACTTAAAGTAAAATTTGCTTTCAGTTTCACAAATTGTTGATGAAAATTTCGAGGTTCACTTTAAGAAAAATGGAAGTAAAGTTTTTGATTCTTGTGGTGATTCTATGTTAAATATTTCTCGCTATGGAAGTGTGTTTAAAGCTAATTTTGATAATCCTGTTTCACCTGTGATAACATGTTTGGTTGCTAAGTTTGATAAAGATGTGATGTTTTGGCATCGTAGACTTGGACATGTTGGTTTTGATCATCTCACTAGGTTAAGTGGTTTGGATCTTGTTCGTGGTTTGCCTAAACTTAAGAAAGATCTTGATTTGGTTTGTACACCGTGTCGTCATGCTAAGATGGTTGCTTCTTCACATGCTTCTATTGTTTCTGTGATGACAGATGCACCGGGACAGCTATTACATATGGACACTGTTGGTCCAGCTAGAGTGCAATCTGTTGGAGGAAAGTAGTATGTGTTAGTTATCGTTGATGATTTTTCTCGATATTCTTGGGTTTTCTTTATGACAACTAAGGATGAGGCGTTTCAACATTTTCGTAGTTTGTTTCTTCGATTGGATATTAAATTTCCTTGTTCTTTGAAAAGAATTCGAAGTGATAATGCTGGTGAATTTAAAAATGCTTCATTTGAACAATTTTGCAACGAAAGAGGTCTTGAACATTAATTTTCTTCTCCTCGTGTTCCACAACAAAACAGTGTTGTTGAAAGAAAAATCGTGTTTTAGTTGAGATGGCTAGAACGATGTTGGATGAGTATCACACTACTAAAAAATTTTGGGCTGAGGCGGTTAACACCACATGCTATATTTCAAATCGGGTTTTCTTGAGGTCAAAACTTGGAAAAACTTTTTATGAGCTTCGATTTGGACGTCAACCCAAAGTTTCACATTTGCGTGTTTTTGATTACAAATGCTTTGTCTTGAAATCAGGAAATTTGGTTAAGTTTGAGGCATGCTCTACCGATGGAATGTTTCTTGGTTACCCCGCACACTCTCGTGGCTACCGTGTACTTATTTTGGAGACTAACAAAATCGTTGAGACTTGCGAAGTTTCTTTTGATGAGGCTAGTCCAGGTACTAGACCCGATATTGTAGGTACATTGTCACAGGTTCAGGGGGAAGATGGTCATATTTTTGAAGACGAGAGCGGCAACGACGACGAGGTCGGTTCAGCCGGTCAGACCGAGTGCCAAGCCAGTCAGACCACCGGCACACCTTCGGTCAGACCGGCGCAGGACGTGCGGTCAGACCGGCCAGGGTCGTCGGGTTCCGGTACTGTTGATGCTGATCGAGATGGTCCTCCGGAGATTACAACTTTGACCAGTACTGATACAACACGTGAATCAACTTCAGAAGTTGCTGCTCCTTTGCACATTCAACGATAACATCCGCCAGAACAAATCATTGGTACTCTAGGTGAGCGGACTACTAGGTCTAAGGTAACGTCTCATGATGTTTGTGCAAATTCTGCATTTGTTGCTTCTTTTGAAGCCAAAGATGTGTCACATGCATTAACTGATGAATCGTGGATTAATGCCATGCATGAAGAACTTGAAAATTTTGAGAGAAACAAAGTTTGGACTTTAGTTAAACCACCTTCTAGGCATAATATTATTGGAACCAAGTGGGTTTTCAAAAATAAACAAAATGAGGATGGTTTGATTGTGAGAAATAAAGCTAGGCTTGTTGCTCAAGGTTTTACTCAGGTGGAGGGTTTGGATTTCGGTGAAACTTTTGCTCCTATTGCTAGAATTGAGGCAATTAGACTTTTGTTGGCTTTTGCTGCTTCAAAAGGTTTTAAATTGTATCAAATTGATGTGAAAAGTGCTTTTCTAAATGGTTTTATACATGAGGAAATTTATGTGAAACAACCACCAGGTTTTGAAAATCCTGATTTTCCCAACCATGATTTTAAATTGTCTAAAGCTTTGTGTGGTTTGAAACAAGCACCTAGAACATGGTATGATAGGCTTAAGAACTTTTTACTTGAGAAAGGTTTTACAATGGGAAAGGTTGACAAAACGCTTTTTGTTCTTAAGCATGGTGATAATCAACTGTTCGTTCAGATTTATGTGGATGATATCATCTTTGGTTGTTCAACTCACGCTTTATTTGTGGAGTTTACTGAGACTATGCACAGGGAATTTGAGATGAGCATGATGGGTGAGTTATCGTACTTTTTGGTATTGCAAATTAAGCAAACACCTCAAGGTACATTTCTGCATCAAACGAAGTACACGAAGGATCTTTTAAGACGGTTCAAGATGGAGAATTGCAAGCCAATTTCAACACCAATTGGTTCTACAGTTGTGTTGGATCCTGATGAAGATGGTCAAGCTGTTGATCAAAAGGAGTATAGAAGTATGATTGGATCTTTGTTGTATCTAACTGCTTCTAGGCCAGACATACAATTTGCTGTGTGTTTGTGTGCATGCTTTCAAGCTTCTCCTCGGGCTTCACATCGTCAAGCGGTCAAGCGCATAATGAGGTATTTGAATCATATACTTGAGTTTAGAATTTGGTATTCTACTTCATCTTCTATATGCTTGAGTGGATATTCCGATGCTAATTTTGCTGGTTGTAGAACTGATAGGGAAAATACTAGTGGAGCATGATTCTTGGTACATCATTGATTGCATGGTCTTCTAGGAAACAATCTAGTGTTGCTCAATCAACTGCTGAATCTGAATATGTTGCTGTTGCTAGTTGTTGTTCACAGATTCTTTGGCTTATTTCTACTTTGAAAGATTATGGTCTTATTCTTGAGAAAGTACCTCTCTTTTGTGATAATTCTAGTGCTATTAACATTGCTAAAAATCATGTTCAACACTCACGCACAAAGCACATTGATATTCGCTTTCACTTTTTGAGGGATCAAGTTGAGAAGGGAGATATTGAATTGCAGTTTTTGGATACAAAGTTGCAACTTGCTGATATTTTCACTAAACCTTTGGATTCTAATCGTTTTGCTTTTCTTCGTGGTGAATTGGGAATAATTCATCCTTTTGGCATGATTTGAGGGGGAGTTTGTACCTTATGGTTTTATCAAGTAAAAATATGACAATGAGAAAAATTGAGAAAAGAGAGCTTTGTTTATACATATGGTATTTTCTTGTGCATGCTAGCAATACTATGAAGGTTTATTTGTCTCTAGCATAGCTTGTACGTATTCTAGTATTTTTATGAGGCTTAGATTTTGTTTTTTTAAGGGAGATGATGCATGACACTTAAATTCTTTACTTGAATTAAGCAAATATGCAATATTGATGCTAGCATATGGTTTGATTTATAAATGTTCTATATATATATGCTTTATTGAATTGATATTCCTCAAATAGCTTGTAATTGCTCATTTTGCAAAAAGAATAAAAAAATATGAAAAAAAATGAATACCGAATCCTTGGAAACAGTCTTGACGACAAAGACGTATTCGATGTGAGCAAAATAATGGGTGTCGAATCAATAGAAACAGTCTTGACGACAGGGATGTACCCGGAATAATCAAGAAAAAAATGAGCAAAAAGGCTCAAGAAAAAGAAAAGTTTAAAAAATTATCTTGGTTGTTTTGTGCTAAACCTAATTTGAGAAGGAGTGATAAATGCACTATGTGTATATGTATAGTGTTTACTTTTCAACCTATGTGCTTGTTAATATGTTGCATTATAAATCGTATGAAATCATGAATTTTGATGACTCAAGCTTAATTGTAAAATCTTTGATTCATGATTATACTTCAATACATGCTTGTTATATTATAGATGGGTTCATCTTCTTTTTATTGCAACACATGACATGATATGCTATATGTATGCTCAGCTCTTAAATATTAATGAACATAATTCCTATGCTTGATGAAATCATTGTCAAAAGGGGGAGAAGCAATGAGTTTTGAAAGAAAAGGTGAAATTTTAGGGGAAGCACATGAGCTTTTGAGAAGAGCATGCTTTTGGTTCAATTGGGAATTTCTTTCTTTTCAAAAGTGAATGAGGTTTTCATTTGGATTTTCGAGCACGATGTGTACATTTATACGAAATGTGCTTTTTACCACTTTTGTTTTTATTTTTCCAAACACCAAAACATTTTGATGGGTTTGCCAATGTGTTCATCAAGGGGGAGATTGTAAAATCAAAGGTATTTTAGATTATTATTCTGTGATGAACAATTGGCATTGGAGATTATTGGTTTTGATATTTGGAATTTATTTGCGAAGTGGTTTTAGAGATGATTGGATTTCACATGTGATCTACAGGATACTGCTGGATTTGGGTCTGGTCAGACCGGGTTGTGTATGCCGGTCAGACCGACGGTGATCGAGCGGTCAAACCGGCCAGCTCGCGGTATGACCGGCTGACGCTGTGTCGGTTTCGGTTTCAGGTCGTTTGTTTGGATATCCATGATTGTTTCATGAATATGACTTCTAGATGGATACTATGCGTATGTAATACTGTTGTTTGCTACTAATGAGTCAAGTTGGGGATAGCTTGGTCTCAGAATATGGTTTCTTTGTTTGTTCCATGTGTAGGTGACTCGAGATGCCGGGAGAGTATTTGTGGTGATGGACCGGGAGTCCGACTTGGGGATAAGACGACGTCCGTGGTGGTTAGAGATCATGTGGGATACTAAGGCTAGAGTTCAATGCACGTGGATGGTGAAGTTTCCTTATGGTATACGATGGAGGAATTGTGTGCGTATGGGATGTGGAGTCGAATTTGGAAGGAGTCTAAATTTGGTAGAATTGGTTATGTAAAGTTTGTTTCTTGTACGAGAAGGTTTCCTACGGGGATCAGGACTTCTATTAAGGCGGCGGTCAGACCGGCGGGCACACGGCGGTCAGACCGGCGGCGGTGACAGACGATAGCAGGCAATCTTGGCGGTTCGACCGGAGTTTAATCTCGGTCAGACCGATATTCATCAGGCGGTCAAACCGGCGCAGCTACTTCGGTCAGACCGCGATCCGTCGAATTTAAGGGTAACTTTTATTTCCGCTAAAAGTTTTGGTTTTTGGATATACTAACCATTCACCCCCCCCTCTGGTTGGCTTAGTTCTTGTGATTCGATCCTACAATATGTACTATCTATGTTCTTGCTAAAGGAAATAGCTAGAAAACCATGTACCGAATATGTTTTTGCTTTAAGAAAATAGAAAACTATTAAATACTCACTTGTTGTGGAAACTCGCCTGTTTCTAGTTGCATATTGATCAATTCTTGTGCTGCATGATATAGTGGTGTTGGATCTATTTCAACCTGCTTATCAGTGAGACATGAAATAACACATGGTAGTCCATAAATAATATAATAGACTATTAGTACCTACTAAAATGAATAATGAACAAAACAAACCTGCCCAGCATATATTAAAGCTAACATTGCCCAAGCAGTGTTCACTGCATGAGGTCTACTAGCCTCCACATAAACCTGTCAAATAAAAGAGCGGAAGCAATGGAAACAAATCAAAAGGATGTGAACTAACCACGAATATTTGAATTCAGAGAATTATGTGTTGACAATCTCCGAGGCATATTTTATCCTCATATTATTGTTTAAGGCAATGTGTTACCTCTTTGTCTCCTTATAAGCTTGACTACAAAATCTAAGATCAATATGTAAATAAAACTGTAATATGTTTATATTGTTTTTATCTCTTCATATATGGAGTTCTCGACATACTCACATATTTGGTTGTTCTAATATTGGTCCATTTGAATGCCTCTTGGTTAATCCACATCATAAAAACTGCAGTAACCGCCTATGTGTAGTAACAGATGTGATGTGTGATGCATTCTAAATCATGCGGTGTGGGGCAACGCTAGTAGAAAAACAAAGCTAGGGGCCCAGAATGAGCAGAGCTAAGGACAAACCTATGGCAGTCGTGTTGTGGCAGAAAATGATCCTCCGGTTTATTGAATATGAAGATGCAGATTGGGGAAAAGGTGATGAGAGTGATGTTGGTTTTGGTTGTTTGTTCAATCATACTACTAAGTCCCTTGTTTTAATCTAGTTTGCTTAACCTAGCAGAGTCTTAGTTTACCACGGATGAGCATAGGAGGTATTGAGATGGTGTACCTATGTTGTGTTACTTGTGTATTTGCATGCAAATCTAAATCTATGTCTGAATGCATGATGGACACCAATATATCAATTTCAAGGCAATGTGTATAATTTATTACGTTTTGGTTTGGTCATGTTTGGTGTCGCTATTGATTCACCAATTCTTTAGGCACATTTAGCACATATGGATTTTACAAGATTCCACCCGACATTGTTCAATTTCTAGTGTTCCAAACTGGTCCTCAAAGCATGAGCAAAGAGATAGTAGCTCAATTTCTCATGTTCCAAATTGCCCTTAACAGTTAAGAAGGGGGCTAGGGCACCTAGAATTGGGGTATGATTTGGCTAAACCTAGGGATAAACAAGGCCGTTTCTCAAAAAAAAAGAAAAAAAATTGACATGTTTTAGCACCCAAACAGTGACCAAGACTAGAGGGGGGGGTATAAATTAAATTCCAATGAGATTTATTATGGATGGATTAAATTTCATGGACATCAACAGGATTCAAGAAAAATCCAATAAATTTATTGGAGAATTTTCTCAAAATCGAAAAAAATATAGGTTGTGTTCTTTAACTGATAACCCTAGCCAGGGCACAAACAACCAGTCAATTTCTAACCGATTGCGACCATTTTGCCCTTGGTACATCGTTTTCCGCGCGCACGCTTTTCAAACTACTAAACGATGTGATTTATGCAAAAACTTTCTATATAAAAGTTGTTTCAAAAAATCATATTAATCCATTTTTCAAAAAAAAAGTTAATACTTAATTAATCATGCAATAATACAAGCTTTGTTTTGCGTGCCGGGGAGGAGGGGTTCTCAACCCTTCCTCCTTAGCACAGCCTTAGGTATGCTGATGACTGGGGTATTAGATAATTTTGTGGAGCCAAATTTAGTACCAAACCTAATGAAATTACCAGTGTCCGCTTACCAGTGTTTTGTTGGTTGGATGTATACCGTTAATTGTAAGGATAAAATGTAAAACTATATATTGATATATGCATTGTAAAAAAAATTGGCCAACTTTTGAGGAAATTGTGTTAGTTATGTGAAAATATAGAGTAAGAATTACCTTAGTTTCACTAGAAAGATAAGTCTCACTAAGTTGCTTTGACAAAATAAAGTTGCATGCTTTTCTAATGGAAGAGCTATTTTCGTATGTTCTTCTAGCAGCAGCTAATCCTTTTACAGCAAAGAATGTCCCATAAGTGAAACATATACCCCAAGTACAAAACCTGTCAGATAGTTAAAAGTAATCAAGTTATTGATTGTAAATATCAGGGACAATAATAACAAGCAGCAACAAACAAGAACAACAAACCATGATCCATCCTTCCTTTGTTTATTCTCAATAAACTTGGAAGATTTTATAATACAATTTCCTATCTCTTCTTTGCGGTACACTGGGTTGAGCTCACTGAACATAATTAGCGCTTGAAGTACCAATGATGTGCATTCAACGGATCTATCAATTGATTCAAGGCAATTAAATTAGCTCTCCACACATATTGTGAAGTGGGAACAATGGTGTTTTCTTCAAACAAGAATGCACAATTACGGATAATCAACTACAATGTTTAGAAAACTCTCTGACGGGTTGAGAACCTATGGAAACAAAATCTAGGTTATTCTACATTTATCTAAAAATAGATTAGTGTACACTTAAGTATAACATCAACAGAGGAAGCATAGCATTTGGACAATTATCAATCAGTATGACATAATTTGCATGAGGTGTATATATGTAAAAATCAGTAGAAGGTCAATCCTTCAAACAACATAAATTGAAGTTGTAGTTATTAGAACAGTTTGCATCTGCAGAGTTCATGTTTTTCTATGAAGTGTATCATCTGCACCACCTAGACCCATTTATTACTGCTAAGCTGTAATTGTAGTTGGTGATAATAACTTCATTTTTCATGGAAGGTCCCTGAAGTACTAATATATTGTGATAAGCCCATTTGACCTCAAAAATTATTTTAAATGGATAAAAAGTACCCCAAAACCCTATCAAAAATTTCTTTACAATTTCAGTTGGAATATGGAAACTGACATTTTATGGCTTGCTTCTAGATTTTCCTTCTTATTTTTTCTGATATGAGCATTTTAACATGATTCACACTTCAATGATATGAAATTATGAATACGATAGATGCAAGTCTTTACCACTTTACCTTAAACAAAAAGTAGGACTTTATTGTACTCACCTCTAACCAAGGTGTACTTCTCTTGCACTCATATGTAGAAAAGGTGCCATCTTCATTCTTCAAACAAACAAAATAGGGATCAAAACAATGACATGAAATATTATACACTTGAAGTTTAGTAGAAGATGAAAATGTACAAATCTTAGAAAATCATCAACAAAGAAACCACAGAGCCATAAAAATTCAAAACTAGAAATATTTCCAGGAGTGATTATGATACACTAGTTTGCCACTTGCAAGTTGAGAAAGTCGAGAAACTCTTTTGCAGCTAAGATTATATTTTACCATAATAAATCTGATCTATACTTAACAAGTTACTGTAACATATCACTAAAATGGGGAAGTAAGCAATGGCCAAATCCATGCTGCTCCTACAAACCACGCCAGTTTTTGTCTTGTTGAATGAGAAATCTACCCGATACCACCAACTTTGTTATGGTTCTACAATTTGCCTGGCTTGTAGGGTAGTAAAACAACATAGCATCACTTTTTTTCCTTAATTTCTATTTTATACCATCCCTGTTTAATGTGCGGCAAAGATGTTGCATTTAGCCTAGAGGAAAGAATTAACTGGACCTTACTTTGTATTGGAAAAATCATGGCAAAAATTTAGAAATATCATTTTACATGGTGTGAAGAATGACACTATATAGCATTGTTGAACTCAATGACACTATGGAAGGAAAACATGATTTGTGGATTAACACTGCAAACCTAGCGCAAGACCGTCTTTTCTGATGGGTTAACAAAGCTTTTTTTGATTGGCACTTGATGGGGATGGCATATAATATAAGTTAAAGGAAACTTGATGGTATAGAATATAACATTACATATTTGATGGCATAGGATATATTTTCTCATGTTCAACAGAATGCACAAAGGAAGATATGAGCAAATTTTGCATAGTCTGATCCAAGCAGTATTAGCCCATCTAAATGTAGGTTTTAGCAAATTAAGCCCCAAAAAATATGGCTCATGCCTGCTATAGGCCGGGCACTACCCAAACACAAACATTGGATCAAAGTTACACATTTGCACTTTTCAGATATGCTGAATGACCTTCGTACCATGTCAGCTTCCAAAATCTGTATTAGCCCCCACAACTGGTATGTCTGGCCCAAATAGGTGCATACTTGAATGTAATATTGTTACAACATGTGGGTTTGTGTGCCCATCCAAATTACCGAAGCTCACTATACTAAATAACATGGACAGCAAATGCATCCATTAATGAGCTAGCATATTACGTCACCTACTCCATTAAGGGTTTATGCCACTTGGACCACAGGTCCATAACCACACTCATTCGTGCAATAAAGTTTATTCTCTAACATCACCTGAAAAACCATCCCTTTTGTTCTAAATTGCCCCACTTAAACATAGCTTCAAAATCTATATCAGCTCATCTGTTTCCCTACTGGTACACCCATGTACACATATCACCCCACTTACACTTTTGTCTTCATCTTCTGTAAAACGGTTAGTTCTAGAGTTGTTGTTATCACTTATTAGAGTAGGTCAGCTTATATGCTAGTATTGACCTAGCTAAACTCTCCATATATGATCAATCACATGCAGCATATGATAAAATGGCAAACACAAGACTTCGCCAATAGCCCAAGATATTTTTGGCTCAGATTATTTCCTTATTCATTGAACATGACAAAGATGGCATGTAAACAAGCTTAATAATTTCATAAAACTACATGTAAGAACATGCCAAACGATTAAAGTAAAAGTTATACCATGAAAGAGAGCATGCCATCCACTGCATCATACAACCTTTCTCCGTCTATCGGATCTCCCACTAGATCTTGAGAGATCTTTGATAGCATAAGTAATGCCTAAAGAATATCAAAGTAAGCATTAGAAGAAATAAAATGCAACATATACTTAGCAACAGACAAGTGAAGA